GTGATTGATGAACTCTAATATAAATTCTTTCCATGTTCTTTAATTTCTATCCCACCCGCTTTCCCAGTCACTGACTTTCATTTTATTCATTTTAACTTTCAACGTTCAAATCTCTCATCCAAACTAACCAGGTAAAGAGTCAATGAATAGAGGGTGTGTGAATTGACGTCGTTCTGTGCGTCAGCACTTTCTTTTATAGACACAAAGTGACGGGTGTATCCATGACTTCCCATGTCACCACAAACGCTAACGGGTGGTCGCACGAGGCGGATATGCTTTACGATCACTTAAGGAATGTTTACGCCCTAATTCCATCCAGTCTGGCCCCTTTTCCCCCCTTTTTTGTTATTGAAAAAATTCGCGTGTCTGAGAATTCAACATCTCAAAACGAATTTGCTTACATGAAATAGACAAATTAACGCCAGGGACACATCTCGTGGCGACTTCATCCATGATAGCCATCGAGATCATCATCGACTTTTCGACGTATTTGACGAAGGTGAAGAATTATCGACGCAAAACACATAAAAAATATAACAAAGAAAACAGCTGCGGAACTATGAATACTAGTCCTGAATTGTTTTTTTTTTAGCGGCATATCAACACCTCTATGGGTTATTAAATGACGAAATAACTCTTTTTTTCAAGGTTTCAGGACACAGTTCAAGACATTTTGATTTGATATTGCAAAAATCTTTAGGGATGTTTCTTTATAAAAATATTTATCTCACTCCAGTTTTAAAAGAATCTTATATCTATAATTCTCAAAATTTGTGTGCATGTGTATGTATATGTGTGTGGGTGTGGGTGTGTAATCGGCTATTATTTATACGTTTCCACAGTTTTCATTCGATTTCGATGAAATTTTTTTGTTTGATAGATAATTCTTCAGTGCCGCTTTTGAGTCCAAACTGGCTGGAAAAAATTACGACCTTGAAGGTGAAAAATCAAAGGCAAAATTTAATGTGTGTAAAAAACAGCGTACAATCAATTTAGAGTGTTGAAATCTAACACAAAAGGTTATTAGAAATATAAAAAAATATATATTATAAATAAAAATTATCGGATTATTATTATGACGGTCCATGGAAGAGTTTCCTTCCTTGCAAGAATGAGAACGCAAAAACGGCTTTTTTCAGGCTCTCCCTTCATTCAAATTGTTACCCCCCCACCATTTGGGGATGTACCCCAGTTGCACCCAATTGTTGTTACTAATATTGATTTTCGGGTGGGATGACTTTAAACTTAAATTGCTTCAATTGAATGGCAAAAATACCCAGTAATGAAAGACCCGGTCAAAGACGGGTTATACTGCTAGTTCACGATATGTGAAAAATAAGGTGTGTATGTAGCTTCTACAAAAATATTTCTGTCAAGTTTTTAAATAAAATAACTTATTCATTAAACAATTTATTCTTTAGTGAATATCGGCGGGAAATTTCATTTTAGATAATTCCCTGGTTTTGGGTAATGTTTTTTAAAAAGTGGGAGGGTTATTTTTTTTACTTTTAATTAAAAAAAATGCATCCATTTTTGGCTGTACAAATTTGAAGTATTTTAAACGCAATTGCATGCTTTCAACTACACATAAAATGTAATGTTAATCCTTTTGCTATAAATATGTATTGTTGGTCATTTTGCTATAAATATGAATTTTTATACTTTCATAATGTTTTGTTTTTGTTTGGGTTGGGGGTTCACTATTTGCCTATAGTTGAGACCCCCTAACAGGTGCTACCACCCGAGTCAGGGTGGGCCAGGGAATAGCAGCAATGAAGAGGTGGTTTCACGCCTCTGAAAAACTTCAACTTCCAGATTCCTTGCTGCCTTGTGTAGTTTATCGTCATACCCTATAGAGAATGCCCAAAAATGATTGACGTAAAATACATAGAACTATATAAACAGAAAACAGCCGCAGAACTGGGGTTAATTGCCTTGGATTGATTTCACTGATGCCGAAATTTAAATATTTTTGACTACAAATAAAATATATTGGCTGATTTCGTTTAGCGTCAGGTCAACCTCTATGAGTGATTTAATGCCGAAATCTAAATATTTTGCACGCAATTATATGCCTTCAACTACAGATAAATATATCGTTAGGCCTTTTACTATATATATGTGTTGTTGCTTGCTTGAATTTGTTTAGCGGCATATCAACACCTCTATGGGTTATTTAATGCCGAAATCTAAATGTTTTGAACGCAATTGCATGCCTTCAACTATAGATAAAATGTATTGTTCGTCGTTTCCCCATAAATATGTATTTTTATACATTCATGATGTTTTGTTCTTGTTTCGGGGTTCACAATTTGCCCATAGGTGGGACCCTAACAGGTGCTACCACCTTAGTGGATCAGGTGAAACTGAGAATAATATCAATTCAGAAGTGGTTCCAAGCTTCTCAAAACCTCATCAAATGCCTTGCTGCCGGATGTGGTTTATCGTCATACCCAGGACAACTTGCCTTGGACAGAAAGTAATGAAAACTAACCTGGCATTTCGACTTCAGTCACTTTCCCAACGATTTTAGAGGATAACAGAAAAGAAGCGTGGTCGGCCTGTATGACCCCCACATACTCCTGATTAAAGGAAAAAAGAAAACGAGGAAGTAGGATTGTATGAATCCACACGTTGCCAGAATTGTTTCGTTTGAAGCAAGGAAAAGAGTTCCGAAACTGATGTGTAATATCTAATCTTCTATATGACCGTAGCTGCTTGGAAATCTCCACACAGATGAGAATAAGAAACTATAGAGAAACCTGCATTGATTGAGTGCCTTATTTGTTTACTGTTTATCAACTTTTTGTAGTTTATTTAAAGCCAGAAAATATTATTGGACTGTAAGAAATATTTTTGAGATAATAATGATTTGCTGATACAAACCCTATTACATAACCCATAGATGGGGGAGAAGAGATGGATTCATAAGTTTCGCAATGGTATTTGCGCGTTAAATGAATATTACGAACCCGACTCGAATTAGAACTCGGTTCCCGATTTCCAATTCCGAGACATTATCCAACAGCAGAGCAGAGATCAAATAATCCCCTGAATTAAAATGATATACTGTTAACTTTTATAAAGTTTGAGTAACGCTCATAGTTGCTGGTTTGTAAGACTGTAATGAAAACATTAGAAACAAGGGATTGAATAAAGAATGGTTTAATCATATGAAAATATGAATTGAACATATAGTTTAGTGCAGCAATCGTAAGAGTGGGAAGCGCTATGCCTTCGTTACACACTCTTTGTCCTTGTTCAGTAAGCAGACCTACTTATAGCGGATGGACGAGTTCGTGTTTGAATAATAAGCGCAGAGAAGGTTAGTGAGTTTTTATATACAACATTAACCATAAGAAATATCACCGACAAATCGCGTGATCAACGAGAACGTTTTAAAGATACGTAGAACAAGAAAAAAAACTTATATTTACAATCAGAAAGAGACAACTGATATTTCTGGGCTTTGGAATGTAATACTCACAGGACATAGTGATGGCAAGTGAAGCAGGAGGAAGCAGCATGTAACCCGCTTAATGACTTAGTGTGATTGGTTGGCACAGTAAGGACAAGCGGGAATGACAAAGAGCAATAAATACAGGAAGTAGTCGAGAGCTGTGATTGCCTGTAACCTGAAAGGACATGGCTCTTAAATGAGTAAAGGCAAGAGTAACAAGTGGAAACAGCGAGTACTTAACGCGTTTGGTTGAATAGGTGTCAGGACAGCGACATAGAAAGATGGTAAAAGTAGTCAAAAGTTACTTAAAGTGGCAAAGTACAGGATGTTGTTAAAAGACATGACAGTCCACATCCAAAAGGTATATTCAACAAAAAGGAAGACATGGCGTCTATGTATTTACCCAGAAAGAAATGAAAAAAAAAACATCAATAAAGGAAATAATTATGTAAACAAAAAGTAAAATTAACATACTTTAAACAAACACTGGATAATCGATCGAAATCTAATTCGTATAAGCTTCACTTTTCACTGCCATTTTCTTAAGCGATCAGCATTTTTTTTCCGTCTAGCATATTTCCCGAAACCCAATGCCACACCTTAATTCTAATCACCTTCGATTGTCAATCAATATTTCGATTACAGATAAAACGATAAAAGATACAAGTAAGCATTGATATTCAAGCAGAAGTACAACGAAATAAAGAAAGAGATATTTGTTAGAAAGGAGAATAAGATGCAAAGAGAGACAAAAGCAGAACAGAACATTTGATAGACGGATGCAATAAGAAAGCGCGTTCTCTCTGGCTTTAAAGGCGGGAAAAAGGAAAGGAAGTATTCTGCGCAAACTCATTCTCATGTTTTTTTTTTTTCCAGGCATTTACCTTTAAATATTTCGTTCCGTTTGGTGACGCGTCTTCTATTCGAAAAGACATCGAATATGTTTTTGTCCATTAGTGTTTTAATATTCCGTCAACATGTTACACACACACAAATTTACACACACACACACACACATATAATTTACACACACACATACATACATACATACATACATACATACACACACACATATATATATATATATATATATATAAATACATGAATTATTCATACAAAACTAATGCAAAGGTTAATGATTTAAATGGCAAGACATCCATCTTGCAAACGATTCAAATAGTTCACAAAAACCTCTATACATACAATACACATATATTTTTGATGTCCTCTTATTACTAAGAGAAAAAACCAAGAACAACATCTATTATATACCTGACGATGTCTGTAGGAACAGACGAAAGCTTGTAGTAAAAATAACAACTAATACGGCAGAAATTTATATAAACAAGGATCAACTCATGCATAACGGATTTAGAGGTTTTTGTGTACTATTTGAATCGTTTGCAAGATGGATGTCTTGCCATTTAAATCATTAACCTTTGCATTAGTTTTGTATGAATAATTCATGTATTTGTAAATTGATTGCACGTTTATTGTATATATATATATATATATATATATATATATATATATATATATA